TCAGGGAATGGCCAAGGAGCAGGGGATCATAGGTGTCTACTGAGCCCTGGTGCTGATGGAGCAAGGCCCCTAAGCATGAAGGGTCCTGTGGGGCTATATTTTTGCCACATGACACAGGGCCAGCACTAGATTCCCTGTAATCTCTGACTTTGGACAAACTGGAAATGATAAAATACCTTGGGGAGAAATTGTGTTTGTTTGTTTGTTTTAATTTTTCCTTCATGGAATGGCTAAAACTAGTTTGGTTCTTATTTTATCTGAATTGGTTCACCCCATCCCAGTAATCACTGAAAATATATGCCCTATTAACAAATATTTATCAGGGTCTAACTCTTTCTTGTAAATACACTTAGTAAATCTATACTTGGCCAATATTGTATCCATTGTATACTAATATGTAACTGTAGGTATAAATCCCCTTCTTGATTTAAAATATATTACCCAGACCCACTGAAAGATTTAAGAGAGAAAAATACTCAATGGGCCAAATTAATCATTCATTTAATATTAGAAATCATACAGTTTCTAGGAGTGAAGCCAGAATGTCCATAAAAAAAACAGTGCTGTATATTACAAAGAATAATAGTGTGCCTGCATTAAAAATGCTTTTATGATGCAGGGTAAATTAGTGATTTTTAAAACTGTCAGTATAGATTCAATTCAGATGAATCACCTTAATTTTCAAGGACATTCTGGTTCTGACACAGAAGAGCCAACAAGTACATAAAGATCCAGCAGTCTAGGGTTTGATGTGCGGTAGCATACAACACACTTATATAGCTTCCTGCAAAAGAGGTGCAGGGCACTTTGTACACTTCACGTTTAAAAAATGAAATGTAAAGCAATACCAAAAGTTTTAATGATTTCCTATGCAGAGGACCCAGGTGCACTCATGGGAGTGGTGAGCTAGTATATGCCTACAAGATGGAAGCATGTCCCCTATAGTTGGTCAAAGCCAGTAGTGTGGTCTGAGGTCTATTATTGAGAAAAGTTGTAAATGTTTACAGACTAAGTAAAAAAGCAGTGGCTAAATCTTTGCTCAATAAGCCACTTGATGTGGTCACAACTAATGTGTCCAATTATTGCCTTGTCTCCAGCTTTCCCTGTTTGGGGAAGGTTATTGAAGCATAGCAGGGTAGCTCAAGGGTCACCACCTGAGTTCTTTTGCCTTTGTGGGATTGTGCTTCAGACCTGGGTGTGATATGGAAATTGATTTGGTATCCTTGGTCCTGATGATCCTTCTCCTGATGATGGACTAAGATCAAGAGTCTGCTAGTTGCTCTGGCATCTGGCTTTGAGATGGTGGATCGGAAGGTCTTGCTGACTTGCTTACAGGATCTGGCAAGACTTGATGGTTTGTTTTTCAGTGGCTCTATTCCTCCTTTTTTCAGAGAACTCAGAGGTGGATCACACCAGACTCCTTTCTGTCACCACTCACATTTAGTGTTTACTTGACTGCTGGGGCGGATTGTGCTGTGGATTTGGACTGCAGTGCCATCAGTATGCTGGTGACCTTCAGCTCTACATCTCTTTCCATCAAATCCAGATGGTGTAATTTCCTTTCTTTCCTTGAACGTGGCCAGTATAGAAACCTGGATGAGAATCAGCTGGCAGAAAATTGGGCAAGAGAACGAGGAGGTATGAGAATGCTGGCAAGGAGAAACAATTCCAGGAACAGTTAATGGTTGTGACTGCTCCATCTATTGAGTATGTTCACCCTTGCCAAAGTTTTGCAATTCCAGAGAATTATTGGCCTCCTGTCTGCTCTTGAATTCTCAGGGACAGCAGTTCCTCTTACCATTTATTTTCATCTGTATTTACGTAACAGGTTACAATCTTCCCTTGAGGATGCTGACTTAGTGCTAGTCTTTCATACTTTTGTCACTTTCAGGTTAGATTGCAACAGGCTGGTTTAGGACCTACCATTAATGAGCAATGGGAAGCTTAGTCTAATATAAAATAGATAATTTGAGAGCTTGATTGATTAGCAGAGTAGGCCAGCAATATTACACGTGTGATCAGTCAACTGCACTGGCTTTCCATCTACTTCTGGGTCCCATTTATCTACTCTGTTCACTCCCCTTCATCTTAGTATCTCCAAAGTATAAAAAATTGATATAACAGTTCACGATGCTAGTTGAACTGGGTTTGGAATCTGGATAACATAATGTCTCATCTTTTTCTGTATACCACAGTGGCTGAGATCAGCTGAGATGGCTTTCCTAAACACTGGAATAAATTGCCTAGGGAGATTGTGGAATCTCCGTCATGGGAGGTTTTAAAGAGAAGGTTAGACAATCACCTCTCAGGGATGGTCTAGATAATACTTAGTCCTGACTTGAGTGCAGGGACTGGACTAGAAGACCTCCTGAGGTCCCTTTCAGTCCTACTATTCAATTATTCTATCGCTATGTGTGCATTTTTGAGGATTGTGGATACAAAATGTCCTGGAGTGGGTGGAGCTATTTTTCTCTGTGTGGTCCACTGGCTCCAGAGTTTACCATCAGACAGTTTTTTTTAAATGCAGACAGATACTATGGTTATTGGTGCATAAAAATTAATCACTAAGGCTGGGGTCTTCAAAGGAGCTGAAGGGAGTTAGGCACCACAACTCCCACTAAAATTCAATGGGATGTGGATGCTCCTAATTCCCATAGGTGCTTTGAAAATCCCAGCCTACAAATATATGTCACTTTCAGTACTGGCTTCTTCTTCTTCTTTCGTATGGCTTGGGTAGGTAGCAACAACTACAAATTTATATCTAGGTTTGATAGCCAGCACATTGCCCCACCAGTGAGCTGGTGAATGTTCTTCAGGCTCCCAGCAAACAAATGAAGGGGACATTCAAATATGATGTACTCTATCATTTGTGCCTGGTGACCACAATCACATACAGGTGTTTGCCTCATTTTCCATTTAAAGAGGGTTTGTCTACATCTTCTATGAAATGTCCTGATGTGATTCAATCTGCACCAGTCTTTCCGACATAAATCAAAACCCAGTGGTTCCTCAACAGAATCAACAATGAGCTGTTTGTTATGAGCGGTCGAAGTGCCCCATGTGACTCTCCATTGAACCTCAGCATCAAAGTTGGGTGTAAGGATCTTGATACGGTTCCATAGAGGGTTGCAGGATTTTAATCTTGTCTTTGGTGGGCTCCTCGTATTTGCATTGACATGGTGTAGCGGGGTGGTTACCCCACTCCTGCCCTGAAGGGCTTAAAAAAGCCCTGGGAGAGGGCTGTGGCAGGGAAAGCAGCTAATAGGCTGATTGGGGAAGCAGCCGCTACTGGGCCATGCCCCAATCAGGCCTCAGCTGGCCCCATATAAGAGTCTGGGAGCCAAGAGCTGAACAGTCTCTCTCTAGCTGTAGAGGGAGACGGAAATGGCTGCAGGGACCTGAGCAGAATACCTGAGTGGAGCAGGGCTGGGGAAAGGCAGAGGAGCTGGGGAGGGTCCAGCCTGGAAAGCCCCAGACTGCAGCCTAGCAGAAGTCCAACGGGTAGTGGGGGTTGCAGAGGGCAGCCCAGGGGTAGGCAAAGGCAGCAGGTCCAAACCCAACCTTGCCGGTGATGAGTAGGCTGATACTGCAGTCTGCCCTAGGGGTGGGGGCTAGACAATGACTGGCAGTAGCCTTATACTGAGGCAAGGTGGGGATAGTGGGTGGAGGCTCCCTGGGGAGGGGAGATCCTGAGACAAAGGGGTTGTTGCCAAGGGGCAGCACCCCAGATAATGGGGCACCGGGTCCGGGAGGGACATGGTGGCCAAGTGGCAGCGGGACACCGGCCTGCAGAGGGCGCTCCGGAGGCTGGACGAGCTAATTCCCAGAGACAACCAGCAGGAAGCGCCGCAGGGATGAGTCCCGCATCGCTACTCATGGTTAAGAAAGTATGATGTCTGAGCAGCTCTTCTAATCTGTGGAGGCTGGATGTGCGGTAGGACCAGGAGCCAGTCAACTGGAGTAAATTTAAGCGTCCCCAACACTATGCACATAGCATTATTGAGTTGAGTGTCAAGGAGTTTAGTGTGACTGCTATGAGACCACGCTGGTGCACAAAATTCAGCTGCAGAATATACCAAGGCAATTGTTGCGGTTTGTAAGGTCTGTGGACTGGAGCCCATGATGTTCCGGACAATTTTCTGATAAGCACAACACGAGACCTGACCTTATTGCAGGTGTTCTTGAGGTGTTGTCAAAAGGTCAAACTCCAGTCCAGTGTAATGCCAAGATACTTTGGATTAGCTTCATGGCTGATGCTCTCACCGCAGAACTGCACATCAAGTTTGGTATTAGCCATTTTATTGTTCAGATAGAAAGCAGGTTACCGGGGGGGGGGGAGGGGGTTGGATTAGGCCTAAGTTTCCAGTATTGGAAATAATCAGCCATTGTGCTAAGATCTCAGGTTAGGGTGCTGCTGATGGTATGGAGGCTTGTATGCTGAACAGCTAGGGCAATATCATCCACATACATGAATTTCCTTGACTCCGTCGCTGGTATATCCGCGGTGTATAGATTTAAAAA